CTTCTTTAAAGCAGGTAAATAGCTCCCCAATAGAGCACCTTCCCGCTTCACAAAACTGTTAAATACTGTACATGGTCAGTAGAGGGCTGCAGAGCGGTATTCAATATGAAACAGGTTAAATTTCTACCTCAACAATCACTGAGATCAATGTTAAAACTCTAGTTAAAGTTTTAAAAAATGATTTCGTGTTACTTTAAGCTAATTATGGTGAATGTTGAAAAGAACAATCTTGCCTAGGTAATTAAGGTAAACTATTTAAGTAACAAAACGTAACATTCAGATCTTTTTTTTTTCATATGAGTATGTTTGATTTTGATTGTGTTCTATTTTCAAAATCTAAAAAAATTACAAAAAAAGACAATATTTATATATTTTGCTTTGTGTTGATAAGCTTGTTGCTCACCAGTGAAATTTAAATGCTCGTATTTATTGCTATTGATCGGGGATATAGCTGATATGTCAAATACTCAAATAGCCAGTCATTCTACAACTTTCGCTGCATCAGCTATGAAACTACAGATTTTTTTTCCCATTATTTTGCTAAATGACATGCTGCAACAGAATCCTTAATTTTTAATATTAGTTCTGCCACTTATAATTAAAATTGTGCCTAGCTATAACAGTTTTGCAAATCTAAACCAAGAAGAAAAGAAGGAATGTTGCAACGTCTTCTTTCATCACCCTAAGGATGCAATCTTTGCTTCAGGTGTCAAATACTGCTACTGTCAGTGCATCATGACACCAATGCCAGCGGACATTGTGAGTGTGTCTCACTAACACCTTGTTGGTTTTGAAAAGATCAGCAGTATTTAACTCCCTGGAAACAGATTGGCAGGTCAAAAGACTTTGAAGCCAGACTACAAGAATCTGCTGCAGCCAGAGAGATACTGTGGGGGTTACGTGCTGTTGCTAGGCGCTAGGCCCTGAGAACGAACAGATTCTCACATGCATTCAATTCAAATTGGTGCTCTGTGGGGTTTTAGCTGTTTTTGTGAATGCACAGGTTGTCTGTGTTTTTAAATAGGCAACACTGGACTGAAGGCAAAACAAAGACATTATAAACAGACATATCACAAAATATTCCTAAATGATGAGTCAGTGACGAAATAATCAGGTTATTCAAAATCGAGTACTACATCTGTAATTTCAGTTATCCCTTTTTATAAATTGTGAAACTCCTTCCCCTGTAAATGTATATTTGGTGCATCCAAATGCCTAATTATGTCTCCTACCCCCTTTTTTAAATTTAGCTTAAACTATGTCTTCATCATAACCCTGGTACTGGCCAAGTCCTACTTTGCATTTGTAAAATGTCTTTTCTGCCTACATGCTACAGCGTTAAGCCAAAAATTAAAAATGCATGACTATGAATTTAATTCATATCATGATGCCAGCGCTGAAACACAAAACGTGTGACTGTATCACAAAAAATATTGGTATGTAAAGCAAAAACACATAGCTCTGAGAGCTTGAGCCGTGGTGGCACCGCTTGACTATGGAGACAAATAGCTTCTCCACTAACTTGTAATGAGCAGAGCCTGGGCTGTGTATTGGAATTCCACTTCTATTTCCTTTAAGTGTTAGTGAAATACAGAGGGAGTGTTAGAGGAGAGGCAGTGGGAGTGGAGCATGGAGGGAGGTGAGATCTGAAATATCGAAGATGGATTTCTGTGGGAGTGGTGTGTGGGCATTAGAATGCTGATGGTGCAGGAGAGACTACAACTGGGGAAATCACTTGTCTGCATCATCCCTCCACTCAAACCCGTCATAAGAATGTTTCACTGTTGGGTATCCATAAATATCCCAAGGCTCGGTTCACTTTTGTCATGCATCTTAAGCATTTGCGATTGATTAAAGTGTGTACCTTGGCAACACCATTAACATCAAATGATTCAAACCGGTCACAGTGTTGGACATTTAGACCATCCAGCCTTGTATTGAATATTGCACTAGAGGTGAGAAAAAACTGAGACTAATGAGTCACTGGTAGAGATTATATCCTTTATTCTGCATGTGGAATAAAACCGCCATCAGACCCTTAGCTTCTGACTTCTCTGATCAAAAGCATGTCAGTGTTCATTAGCGCCCTAAAGAAACCAAGCCACGCATTTAGTGTGCCAAAACCCTGACCCTATTCTTTAGAGCAGTGGTTCCCAAACTTATTTAGCCGCGCACCCCCTTCTATGCCCCGACCATGTCGACGCACCCCCCAGCCCCCACATCAGGGCATGGCTATATATATATATATATATATATATATATATATATATATATATATATATATATATATATCAGACATCAAGCTAAACAGACAGGGTTAAAAAAATATGATCGACCTTTTTCCCCATCACTTTCATTTTTTAAATAGTAATTAATAAACATTCGATACCATTACAAGTTCCTTTGATTTAATTTTAAATAAATATTTAGAGTGCCCAGGTAGCACATAAACACTGCAATTTAACGGTTTTCTTAAAGTAGGAACGTTCAACCTGTGCGGCCAGAGCGCTCTCCTTCCTTCTGCTCTGCGTAAACCTGAGCTGGTCACCTACTTGTGCATAATCAAATGTCTATAGGGGAAAAGGGAAAAGCCATGATGTTCACTTTTGCCTCAGACCGACTTATTGCTGTTTTATGGTGTGGCTGAATCTGCGATCCGCTGCCACGCTGACTGTAATAACAAATGCTGCAGTAACAGGAGTTGTGGTCAGGTTCATGAGGAGTCACTGGCTGGAGCGGACCCGACATTAATACGTCATCCCAAAATAGAAGCTAATATCTTAATTTGACCTTGAATGAAAAATGTTATAAAACCTCTTAAAAGTTTTTATCACAAAGGAGGCAGCGCTCATTTCTGCCTTCAGTCTGACGGCATGACGGAGTTTGCGCACCATGCACGCTTATTGAATCAGAGTGTGTGTGCGCGCACGGCACAGCTCCATGAAGCTTGGTTTATGCTTTACACATTCACTTTCCGCTTGGTGATGCGGCTCGTGGATGGAACGCGCTTCACAACTTGCAGCGTTTAAGTCACGGCGTCTCGTTATTGGCGCTATTTAAACCAGTGTTGTAAAATTACTTCTGCCCAGCCCAGATGTGCTCACATGTGCACCCGTGAGTCGTGGTTCCGCTGGAACGTGTCTGACCTCTGACAGACGCACTCTGAACTTCAGATCTTCCTGGCACCATCACCACACCACAACACACTTTGGGAATCCCTGCTTTAGAGGGTTCACATTATTTCTGTCAAATACACGTAAATTCAACGCTTTTGGAATAATATTGTGTTACTTTAATTATTCTAATCTAAACAGCATTCATAATTTTTACTAATACATTATTGGGACAGTAATAAAACTATTGACACATGGGTAGATCTAAAACAGGATGCATAGATTGAGCATGTTGTGTTGGTGTTGTGTTCATGTTGGTTCTGAATATAGGCAGCTACAGATCACTGTAGTACCTAAAGTCTCTCACTCTGCTTTAATATAGTCTAAAATGAAAAGACGCAGTGCGAATGGTTAATACAGTTATACAGCTGGTGGTGCTAATGCAACCACGTGGAAATGAATTAAGATGTTTACAAAGACATTGCTTTGACTACAGCTTGCATTTGTAACAATTATTTTATTTAATTTGTTACCAGTATATTGTGTTGATGGGATACTCTGATTGCTTGTTAAAGGCACCATCCTTGTTCTTGGGAAAAGGTTCCCCCCTGGAGCGACATAAGCTGATGGTTGCAGAATATGGTACAACACCGTTTGTGACACACAGGAGCAGACATGGAGCTCTGCTGACCCCAGACTCATGCTTGCTGCAGATTAACTTCAACAAGTCCCACTCAGTGATTGCAGAGTGGTTTTAATGTTGGAATGGTGCCGGTTTGAAGAAGTATTCCATCTGAAACAACTCTGGTACTGGTGGTGGTTTAACAAGCAGTGTGTGATTTCATGGTCACATTCTGGCTTGGTTTTGGAGAACAAAAGATTAAATCCAACCATTTCTGCAGATTCTTCGGGAAGCTTGCACAAGGATCTCTCACAGACAAAAATCTTTTTTTGGGGGGTTAGGCATTGCATAACCCTCCCACTGTCTTTATGGGTGACCCCGTGAGGAAAATTGACCATTGAGCAGGATTGATGGTTTATCCCTTGAGTCCATGTGGCAGGGGTGAGGTGGTGCTCACTCCTCACCCCTGCCACATGGACTCAAGGGATAAACCATCAACCCTGCTCAATGGTCAACTTTCCTTGCGAGGTCACACCCGTTAGGACAGTGGGAGGGTTAAGAAAGTGCAGACTAGATGGGAAAGAAACCACTTCTTCACAGCTGTGGAGATTAAACTTCCTGTTTGCTACACTGAGACTGGGTGCTGCTGTTTACAGTGCAAAGGAAGAGGGATTCAGCTTCAAGACTCCTTAGATGGGCAGAGCGGAGCCTCATTACGTAGCAATAACCCCATCCAGGATTCTGCAATAGCTGGGCAGGATTTGCAGCTGAGACAGGAAAACACACATGAAGCCAAAAGCTTTGTGGGGATTTTTCATGAAGAAATAACAATACAACATGGTTAAACGCTCCAAACGTAGATTTTTCATGGTATAGGACCTTTAAATTGGTAGAAATCCTTCTATCTGAGAGCTGTTATCTTTTGATGGGACAAAGTAGGTTCTGCATGGCAACTGACATCTCTGACTGAGAGACAAACTGAAAATGACATGAAGAACCATTTATCTTCTAATAAAACAACCAGTCCCTGGACAGCACACTACAAAACGATCCATTGAGTGTCTTCCCCAATGAAAAAATAAAAAAATAAAAACACTTTACAGACATTTTACATCTCAGCTCTGCCTATTCAGCCCATCACATTGCAATATCTTATTCATTATAGAGCTAAGTAATATGTACTGATTGCTTTGTTAAATACCGTAAAGTCATCTTGGAGCAATAATAGTGTAACTATTTTCTGTGTCTCTCCCTTTGTGTTGTAGTTGAGGAAGGCAGTGATGGACCACATCTCCGACTCTTTCCTGGAGACCAACGTCCCCCTCTTGGTTCTCATTGAAGCAGCAAAGAGTGGGAATGAGAAGGAGGTCAAGGAGTATGCCCAGGTGTTTCGTGAACATGCCAACAAGTTGGTGGAGGTCAGTGAATGGAATTGCACTCCAGGTTACACACATATATACCATTTCAACTTACTGGGTCAACAATTTAATGTTAGGTGCTATATTTGTGTAGGTGGTCATCAAATTGTGACTTTTTATTTGGAAGTGAAATAAACGTGTAGTTGTTTCACAACTGTGACAAAGTAACCATCTCAAGGCTAGTTTCAAGCATTTCATTTTGCTCACAAATAAAGAAAATGACCCTGCATTATGAAAAACGACAAAACAACAGTTGAGATCAAAGCATCTGCCAAATGTAGAAACATACATATAATTAGTTTTTAAATGTGATCCTAAAACATCACTATAACACCATTCCATGCATACTGTACACAACTCTTAGAACGCTACATATCAGGAACACATTAGATTTTGGAAACAATAGTCAGGGGCTGCTTGGTAGTCCTGTTGGTAGTGCTATTGATTTCAAGCCAGAAGGTTGTTTGTTTGAATCCCACCTGTGCAACCTTTCTGTGTGGCGCTTCATGTTTTTTTTCCCCATACATGCGTGGGTTTTCTCCAGGTATCCTGGCTTCCTCCCTCAGACCAAAGGGATACATGTTAGGTTAGTTGGAGTCTCTGAATTGCCCCTTAGTGTGAGTGTGTGATTGGTTGTTTGTTAAATGTGATGATGTGATGGACTGGCGACTTATCCTGGGTGCCCCCCGGCTCAATGACTGCTGGAGACAGGCATCAACTTCCCTGTGAACCTAACTGAGATTAAATGATGCAGATGATGGATGGATGGATGGATGGATGGATGGATGGATGTGCAGTCAGCTCTTAAACTCAGTGGCTAGCATGTACCTTTCAAGATATTTGTGAGGACAGGTTATGTTGCACCCATATTCCAAGCATTAAGTCAGCTCCACAGTTTAAACAACCTAATGCTGGTATTGCCTAAATGTATTTAGGCTGGTCCAAATGAAATAAAGTCACAAATATGATGTGAACAAAACTGTTTCAAAATATCTAAGTCCTCCTCACTGTCTTATAGTAAATTGTTCCTTATCTAATGTTTGCAAGTCTAACCCATTGACAATTATGAGAACTAGACTCAAGAATATAAAACAGAGGTTGCAGCTGAAAGGAGCTTAGTGGTTGGCATCAAATCCCATTCCCTGAACTCTAGACATATGATGCATCATCCCGACTTAAAAATAAAACACGTCAGATATTTTCTGGTGTTTTCCACTATTAATTTATGTAGATGTTGTCCCCTTTAAACAAATAATACATTTAGTAGTTATTTGATGTATATAAAAACACGAAAATTGCATATGGCACCAACTCTGATTCCAAAACACCAGCGTGGCATTGCTTGGAAGTGGGAGGTTTTAGCTTTACGTTTTAACAATGGAAGCAGGCGGAGATTCTACATATTTATTATTATGTAAGTCAATGGTCTGACCCAACCAGGAAAATCTTATCCATGAATGAATGTGCAGTAAGCATATCAAATGAGCTCCTGTATCAGTCTTAAACTGAATTCCTGGGACTCCCAGAGCTGCAAACACTGAATGGTCTGACAAGATTGGGTGTCTGAATAGACCCACCGATAGAAAAACACAGATGGAGCACTCACCTGAACTAAAGTGTACCACCACAACAAGACACTCTCATCCTAAAATCTTAACGTTTGCAGGTTTTTCTTTTAAACTGAATGTGTTTTTGTCCTACTCTGGGAATGTTTAGGCTTTCTAATGTTCTCATTTCCATGAGCGGTTCAGCGTCCATCACCGAGCTTGGTATTAGGATAAATATGTCCATGTTTTGAGAAGCCTGCATTTTTCAGCATTAATTAAAATAAGCCTTTGACATTCTTTGTGTTGACCCTTGCTGACATACTGTCACTTAAAGCAGCACTCGGTCCTTTTGACATCAGCTGGGAGAGTGAGTGATTTGTGCGCCCTTTTGGTCTCCCCAGGCTGTTTACTGATGAGACTGATGCTACTCTCTGAATCAGTCCTTTATTTAGCCAAAGGACTTTTATGTGTTCTATTATTTTAAGGCTAAATGTTCCATTGTTTTCTTCCCAGTAATTGTCCACATCAAAACATCCAAGCTTCATCTTTTAACCCGATTAACGGAAAACCAAAAGGTTGTATTTGCTTAAGCTGGATGACAAAAAGGTAAATTAGCTCTATTTATTTGGACAAACAACATAAAATAGGCCTAATAGAGGAAGAGAGGGATCAGCGTCACACATCAGCCATTATTAAATTGTGCCATCATTTTTTTCTTCTGGACTATTTGAGGTAGAAGGTAATTTGATATGATGTCTCTGACTAGGTTCATATTAAAGGGATACTTGCTAATTTTTCATATTTTTAAATCATTTTCTTGAGCCAGTATGTGCTAAAAAGACGTTTTACAGGATTAATGGAAGGCCACCCAGCCCCTATCGCCCCCTGTGGCCAGGATATTCCACTTGACACTTCAGACTGGTGGGCTGCTCTGTTGGGAGAAAAAATGGACCTGACATATGTGGTGCTGCAGTCTGCTTCCAGCATGTTTCCTGCGTGTTTTGGATAATTAAAATAGCTCAGCTGTTCATTTATTGATTAATCACTACTGTAGACACTAATGAAGGCTGGGGAGACATTTCAACTATTGGATTAAGGTGTTAAAATATAAACACGCAGCGAGGAGATACGTTTTTGGTCCAGTTCTACAAATGGACACCAGGGGGTGCTAAAAGCAAGCCAAATCTACTTGGTTCCCCTTTAAAATATGTAGGTTTTTACTTTTCTGACTCACTTGTTACATTTGATTAATATTTAATTAGCAGCTATTGGGATATTCACCATGAAATGGCGGTATTGTAAACTTATAAACAGAGCTTGTTTCAAACCAGATCTACCTAAAGTGAGATGTTTTTGGTTCTCATGAAAGCAAAATCTGTAATTTTTTTTCAAGTTCAAATGAAAAAACAAGTGTCATCCGTAAAGTAAAGGTGGAGAATATTTTATTTTACCTTTTTCATATTGGACCATGGTTGTAATGCTAGACTGAACAAGACCCTTTGGGGTTATGTTGTGGAGTTATTCTAAATCAGTGATCCTGAGCAGGCAGTTCCCAGATCATATTCGACCTGCAAGCTCATTTCTTTTGGCTCAGAAAGTTTTCGATTATTAAAGCCCAACCCACAGCTCACTACGAGGTCATTGGGGAATCTTCTTTTGACAACATGCGGCTCAGGTTTTTGGGAAGTTTTATTTATTTATTTATTTTTTGGCTGTATTATTTGCAAACACACGCATGCCAGTAAAACACTTGATTAATGATGGGAACAGAGGCACAGCAGACATGGAAAGTTGTGAGTCAAAACAGAAAAATATTACGTGACAGGAATGTTATCTAACTGTAGCAATTTAACATTCAGAATTACAATACTAAATTAAAATCACTAAAAACAAAGGAATAAATATATGCCTTCAACCTAGATTTAAACAGGTCAGTTGATGGAGACTCCTTAATATGTTGTGGTAAAGAGTTCCACAGATGAGGTGCTGCACCTGCAAAAGCCCCGTCTCCTCTAGTTTTACATCTAGTGCTGAGAACTAATAGCTAATAGCTAGCAGTAGCATAGTAGCCTGGCAAGCCATTCTACATGTGTGAATATTTAGTCTGGCCATGATGCATTGATGGTTCAAAGTTGATACCATGTCTTTTGAAACGAGTAGTCGCCATCTTTGTGTTTTTGCTCAGTCGCATCATTCCGCCCACCAAACCAATAGGGCGCTGTGATTGGCAAGACACAAGACTGTTCAGAGCTGCTGAAGCTCCAATGGAGTGCGATTAGACCAGCATGCGGAGCAAAATAATTTAGCTTTGACTACTGTCTGTCTGGATTCCTATTGCTAAGAGCATAGGCCATTGACATGTTTTTTTTTTAAATAAGCAGTTTTTAAGTTGATGCAGGAGATTCGTGTGCATTTCTTCAGTTAAAATTTACCTAAACATGCAACTATCCTCAAGGGAAAATAAACAAAACCCTTATTAAAAGTGCACTGGCTTTAGTGCTATTTCTAATGTGTTAATATTCTTTTTTAAATGCTAAGTTATGCTAAATTTTCATTGTTCATCCTTTTTTTTTCATAATGCTATGTAAACCAGTTTTTTCTGCACATGTCCAAACTTCATTTGAGCATTTTGGAGTGATTTCCTTACTCTAAAGTAATTAAAAAAAATAAGTTTCACATTAAGAATTATTAACTTTCCGAATGCATATTTATGAGTTAGGTTCTAAAATATTCAAGGATGCTTATAAATTTGTCAAATTGTGTCATCATGTCATCTTCAATATTTGTGCCCCCACAGACTCAGTCATCATAGCTGCCTCCATCGCGGTCTTCTGGTATATTAGGGTAATTAACATCCCGATCGATGTCACTGCAGTCATCTTTCTGATGTCAGGGAGCCATTAACTTGGAGTTGGAACATGATCAATGGTATAAAAAGGTGCCTTTTATCATACCTGCTGGGTTTGCTCCTGTTCCGTTTGGCAACATACAATTAATCTTTTTTTCTTCATCACTGTTCTCTCCTCACCTCTCCGAAGAGCAAAGTTCACCTTGCCAACTCCCTTAATCACACAGTGTCCATTACATCAAACTGACAAGCAACACAAACCCAATTATTATTAAGCTGAGGTTATGATTAGCTTAAATTCATGTAATGGATCCATAAAAGTTAAAATAAAGTACCTATCACTGCCGGGGGAAACAAGTCTATTGGTCCAAAATTAAACTCATGTATAATTGTTGTCACGCGAGGATCTATACATCCATTTGGAGTCTCTCCTGTGCTATGTGTGGACTAACACATGTCCATGTGTTCTCTCCTACTTAAAACGGTGTCTTTTATATTCCTGACCTTTTAAACTGAACTCCACAGATGAACTTTGCAATTAGAGATGTTTTTTTTTCTAAAGAAGTGTTATATGAGGTGAAATGTTAAAAGCAGGTTAACAGAGG